ATCTGCCACATTACTATCACACAGACACCCTATTCCCAGATGGGATTATAACCTCAGGCATAGAGGCTACACTGGATTTACTACAAAAAAATAACATGTTATTTCTGGAAGACAAAATTCAACCTCTAATAGCCCTCAACAGGTAACTTATGGGCCAATAGCATATATGTTTCTGCTTTACATTAGCTTTTATTATACATCACTGAATTGCCACAAAAAAATAAATACAGCAGTCCCATTATCTCTTAACACTCCTCTCAATAAGAGGCTGCAGCCTCCAATATGGATTGAGGCTCAATATCAAGAAGACAAAGATTCTCACTACTGGACCAATTGGCAGCATCAGGATGGATGGTGAAGAGATTGAGATTGTTCACAGCTTTAGTTTGCTTGGCTCCACAGTTAACACTCTCGGCACCAGTAGACAGGAAATTAAAAGATGTATCGCGATGGGAAAGTCTGCTGTTAGGGATCTCTCCAAAGTACTGGAGAGCAATGGTGTCTCTCTGGAGACTAAGGTGTGTCTGATACAGGCCATGGTCTTTGCAATCTCTTGATATGCATCAGAGAGCTGGACAATGACTAAGGAGGATAGAAGGAGAATTGATGCCTTTGAGCTGTGGTGTTAGAGAGAGTATTGAGGGTACCATGGACTGCTAGGAAAACAGATTCATCCTGGAAAGGGTCAAACTGGACAGCTCCTTGGAGGCAAGGATTCTGAGGCTTCGTCTGACATACTTTGGACATGTTGTAAGGAGGGACCGGTCCTTGGAAAGAGACATCATGCTTGGGAGGGTGGAGGGACGGCGCAGGAGGGGAAGACCCCCTATGAGGTGGATTGATTCAGTGGCTGGCGTAATTGGGATGGGTGTATCGGAGATGGTGCAACTGGCACAGGACAGAGCAGAGTTTAGGGCTGTTGTACATAGGGTCGCTATGAGTCGCAAGCGACTCGACGGCACATAACAACAACAAACACCTCTCAATAACGGCTGTACTACTAATTGCTTCTAATAATCTCACAAAATTGTTTTATTTCAATTTCTTGAGTTGCTGTTGAGAGTACTCCCGTTCCTTGCAGGGTGACTGCATTAGAAGTCCCTAGATGAGTACTTCCCAAGGGGACTTTGGGTACCAACCTTTGGTATCTCAATTCTTTCAAGTCTGGGTGATAACTATTTAATCTTTTAAACTGTCCCATTATTTTTACCCATGCTGTGGCATTCCATTTAATATTTATCCTCTTGCCTCTGGCTGAGCTATTTTTCTTGTATTCTTTAGATATTCAGGCTCATCTGTCTTTTGTATGACGACTTCGTCTATTGCTTCAATGGCCAGAAGGTTATCTTCCCTCTCCAGCTGGAATCAAAAGCTATTCCATTTCCCTCTCATAATTTCATAGATAAATACAGTGGCATCCAAAAGCAGAGACCTTGATATTCTGAAACTAAATATACCTTTAAAATTGCAGAACTTTCTGGTACAAGTGAAATTTGCTCAAATTGTTCCCATGGTATAGCTCTCCAGATCGGAAAACGCCAGGCAGACAAAATAGCTACCCTTCTCCCGTCAGGAGAGAAGACGGGATGAGATCCAGGAACCAAAATGCTCAGCTTTCTTGCCTCAGGGGTTCTGCACACAACAGTTCTCCCCAACAAAAGTGTTTGCACAGAGGTCCCAACAAACTTCCTCACAATTCATTTTCAGTAAGAAAAGGTCACCAATACACAGAAGCAATCACTCTAAGTGTTGAAATGCCTCCCAGGACACAAAAAAGCAATCAAAACAGCAATGGAGACAGTCCACCTAGCTTTCATAATAAAACGCTGTAGGAAATGTCATTGTTTTCCTCCACAGAAAAAGGCAACATATACATAATTACAAACTTCAGCGCACAGTGATATTACATATATCTCTACAGCGACATGCTACAGATATGAAAACTTCTTTTAGTTTGAATTTTACACATGTATTGTTGTTGTGTGCCGTCGAGTCGTTTGCGACTCATAGCAACCCTATGTACAACAGCCCTAAACCCTGCTCTATCCTGTGCCAATCACACTGCCTCTGACACACCCATCCCAATTACCCCAGTCACTGAATCAATCCACCTCATAGAGGGTCTTCCCCTCCTGCGCTGTCCCTCCACTCTACCCAGCATGATGTCCATCTCTAAAGACCTGTCTCTCCTTACAACATGTCCAAAGTATGTCAGACGAAGCCCCAGAATCCTTGCCTCCAAGGCGTAGGCTGGTTTAACCCTCTCCAGGATTAATCTGTTTGTTTTCTTGGCAGTCCATGGTACATTCAACACTCTTCTCCATCACCACAGCTCAAAGGCATCAATTCTCCTTCTATCCTCCCTAGTCATTTTCCAACTCTCTGATGCATAACAAGTGATTGGAAAGGCCTACATGTCAAAAAACTGGGAGGTAAACTCAATGAAACTGAACAGTTATTATCTGAGATAAGATAGTTATTATTTTTTCTTTGGACTCTTCTGAATCATTTATTTGTATTACATACTTAATAAACACTTTATGTACAAAAGTATGCATACACATACATATCTATGTAACACACGTACATATTTAACTTTTTTTTTTAAAAAAAAAAAAGTAGAACAGGCTTTGGCATCATATTGAACCAAATGCTATTACATACCAAGATAAAAGCAGTTTAACTTTTATTAAAGCCATGGTTCACGAGGGGAAAAACCACTTTCTTAAGAGGCAGGTCTGCCATCGTCATTCATACTTATAAGTCTGAGAATCATTATACTAGAATAAAAAGAATTCATGAAATGCTATGAATATTCAACTTTGTCAAAAGGTTAAACTCTCTAAAGTACTTATAGATACTATCAGCAATGAGATCTGCAGAAAATAAGATGATGGGTTGTGGTCAAGTGTGTGTTTCTTTCCTTCCTGGCAGAGAAGCACTAAAGCATCAACTGGCATTGATAAAATGAGACAAAATACTTGGGATTTCTTTTCTACTGGGAGCTCTAGTGGCCTAGTTGTCGTTGTTGTTTACTGTCCTATTGGAACTGACCCATGGCAGACCCTCTGGGGGGTTTTCAGAGGCAGTTAATGACATGGGAGGAGACTGTCCATCCTTCTCCCACGGAGCAGCTGGTGGTGGCCTCGAACTGTGTGCCTTGGGGACTGCAGTGCAGTTTTTTGCCACTAGGCCCAGAAGGTCAAGAAAATCCACTAGCTGCTCTGCAGGAGAAAGATGGGCAGTCTCCTGCCGTGTGATTTGTCGCCTCTGAAAAACTGCAGGAGGCTCAGCTATAAATCAGTTCCAAATCCAAGGCAGTGAGTGAAGTAAACAAATTAGTGAAAGGGTTGTGGGGGAGAGGAAGACAGGTGGGGTGGGGGGAGAGAGAGAAAAAAAACAACCCAGAAGAAACAATAACAGAAACTTGAAACTGTCCATGCTAGGGCCAGGGTCCATTACACTACTCTAGTTTTATTTTTCCATAATACAAATTCTGTTTCTTTCAAATGCAATGTCTTGAAAAGCAAAAAGTGTACAATCATTCATCATCTCAAACAATGGAAGAGAATTATCCTAATGACAAACATTTTTTTAATATAACAGAGTATTCCAAGTGAGCATACAACCTATAATTTGAGTATTTTAGAATTCTGCCTCTGCTTCTTTTATTTAATAATCAATAGAGAATACGTGTCAGGTGTCTACGTATCAAAAGGCCATGTCTTCCACAGGCATCCACAGACTGGATTCAGACCATGTCATCACAGACTCTCTGTTCTCAGGCAGAAATCAGACCATGAACTTCAACCACAAGAATACGACCTGGTTTGTGACATTGGAAAAAAAAAATACAGTGACCCGTACACTGACCAATGCAGCTGCAAGACCCCATTCTCTGGGTCCCTTTCTCCTGCACAGAAAAAAGGAGGGGCTCTCTCCGCTCTGGGAGTAAATGACTCGTCTGTATGCGAGTCAGCTGCAGGTCAAAACCTGCGTGCTCAAAGAAGGTAAGAGCCAACAAGGCCAGCAGTACTGATGTTATATAAAGTCTATCCTCAACAGTTACAAGCCCTGATGATAAAAACAGTCAGGGCTCATAAAACTGAGGAAGCCCCAGACTGCTGACCTCTCAGTACGTTGACTGAAAAATTAAACATTAAATTCAAAAGACACTTTGACAGAAAGGATCAACCCTGAGAGGATGATTTAAAAACAAAACAACAAATACAAAACTCACTGCCTTCAAGTCACTTCTGCCTCACAGCAGCCCCAGAAGGCTGCCAGAGCTGGGATCTTGACCTTTAAGGTGGAGGTGGTCTCACCCTTCTTCTTCTGAGTGGCTGGTGGTTTCAAACCACTGACCTTTTGGTTACAGCCAAGCATCTAACCACTAGCATCAAAGCTCCTTTGAGAAGGGGGATAATACTTGCATTATTTTTATTTTACAAATGGAGAAACTTGAGGTTCAGGGCTTCTCAAAGGCTAAAACAGGAGTGTTCTGAGCCCAAGGAGAGCACTCTTTTCATCACCAGCAAACACTGGTTTTGGAAAGAAGTGCTGTGGACAGCCACCACCACCCTCACCCCCCGCCCCGTACAGAACAGTCAAGGATACAAAACACTCTTAGATGGTTCTGTAACAGCAGGAAGGAATTCAGAAAGAAGGTGAAGCAGAGAAGAAATGAGAAGAACTCAGTTTCAAGTCTACCACTTCCTGAGCTTCAAAACATCCCTGAATTATCTCCCGATGACTTATTATTTAGTACTGTCTTTTCTTGGCCATATTTGACTGTACAACACTAAATAATTTCTTTTCTTTTTTGTATGCTTGCTAACAACTTGCTTAGCCTAAGAAAATGATTTTTTTTAACCCAGGATGGACTGCCATGGCTCTGTGGTCCTCTCTTCACACATCAAGATGAGACGAGAGAAGCGGACAGAAGAGCAGCCACGGTCCCCACCTCCCAGGACCACAGAAGCTAAGAGAGCAGCGCCTACCTCTCTGACTTCGTGAAGCTGGCCGGAAATCTGACTCTTGGCTCTTCTGGCAGCTGCAGGCGACTTGTGATGCGTGATAGTGACAACACCGGGGGCCCCCGCAATGAGGTGTCTCTGGCTACAGGGAGATGCAGAATTGGGTGTTCCATGGGGGAGCAAAGTGAGACTTCGGCTTCGGGAGCTTGGAGTACTCTAGAATAAGCAACAGGTGTCAAAACTCAACAGCTGACCTGCAGAACATGACCAAGTGTTGGTTTCCATTTGTTTTGGACTTCTTCCTCTTCCCCCTTCACCAGTCTAGAGGGACAAGGATAAGGAGGAGACACAAGACCGCATGCCCAAATCTCCTAAATACTCAAGAGAGGCAATTTCCGTTCACTCTCCTTATGGTCACACCCCTATTATGTCTTTCCAAACTTGCTTCCTGTACCATGGCTATTAAGGCTAACTCCAAGTCTCCCCCAAACACTAAGGGTTCTCGTGGATTTTTCTCTCTGCACATATTGTCCACCCCCCTTAGAATGTCCTACCCTTTGGGCTGACAGGTATAGGCTGAGTTCTCAAGACTCCATTGAGATGAGAACTGAGGCACAAACTGAGATTTGTACACCATGTTTATAGCAGCATTATTCGCCATTGCAAGAACATGGAA